AATATTGAAAGGGATAAAAAAGAAATTGGATGAGGCCAAAGGTTTGTGGACCGAGAAATTGCACAAAGTACTATTTTCATACCATACTACCCCTGATTCCACCACTAGAGAAACTCCTTTTACATTAGTATATCGGGAGGACACCATATTACCAGTTGAAATCAAAATTCCAATATGGCAACACTTCCCACTTCAACAAAGAGGAAAACAAGTAAGGGCTCGTATGTAACCAGACCTAGTGGACAAAATGAGAGATGTTGCACACATCTGAGAGTTCTCCGCTAAACAGATAGCACCCAAGAGATACTATCCGAGGTGATTCAAAGAGAGGTGTAGTAAGGTTATTTAGTACTATAACAAGTCATAGTGTCTTCCCAATAGGGAAAACTACAACCTAACTAGGAGGGTCGTATCATATATATTAGAAGTTTCCTAATGGGGCCTACAAGCTTGAAGAATTGAATGGACGAATCATCCCCAGAACATGAGACTCAGTTAATCTAAAATATTATTATAGTAAAGGGGTAGAGGGCGAATCACCTATTTACAAAAAATCCTTGTAATAGATTATGGTATTTGCAACAAGTTGCTATGTTTTACTACTAAATTATATTGTTGGACTTGCACAAGAAGATCCTTACTGCCATATGAGGTAATTATATTGTTGGCTTCCACAGAAAGATCACTTATTCCCTACTAGGTGATTATATTTCGAGACATACACAGGAATATCCTTGCCTCTCTATGAGGTAATTATATTGTCGGGCTTTCACATGAAAATCCTTGCTAACCTACTGGGTAATTATATTGATTGACATCCACGGGAAGATCCTTGTCGCCATATGAGGTAATTATAGTATTGGACTTTCCACCAAAGATCCTTGCCACCCTATGAGGTAATTATATTTCTAAAATTCCATAGGAAGATCCTTGCCCCCATACGGAGTAATTATATTGTTGGGCTTCCACAGAAAGATCTTCATCGCCCTACAAGGTAATTCTATTGCAGAACTTCTACAAGAAGATTCTTGTAGCCTTATAGGGTAATTATTTTGTTGGACTTCCACGGGAATATCCTTGCCACCCTACAGGGTAATTATATTGTTGGACTTCCACAAGAAGATCCTTGTTGTCCTACGGGGTAATTATATTGTTAAGCTTTCATGGGAAGTTCCTATCATCCTACGAGTTAATTATATTGTTGGACTTCAATAGGAAGTTCATTTCCGCCCTACAGGATAATTATTTTAATGGGTTTCCACAGGAAGACCCTTGTTGCCCTAAGAGGTAATTTTATTGTTGGACTTCAACACAAAGATCATTGTCTCCCTACAAGGTAATTATATTGTTGGACTTCCACGAGAATATTTTTGTCGCTCTACAGGGTGATTTTATTATTAGGCCTACATAGAAAGATCCTTTTGTCCTACGAGGTAATTCTATTTTTGGACTTCCATAGGAAGATCCTTTCCACCCTAAGAGGAAAATACATTGTTGGACCACTGTAGAAGGATCCTTAAACACCTCAGTAGGTCGCTTAGTCAGCACCATTAATATTAATAACATAAAGGACATCACGCTGAGATTGGCATATACAAATTGTCAAAAGCCTAAACATAGCCCTCAAAGTGAGGCTTCTTATCAAACCCCGCAGATGATGAGAATATGAATAGCTTGCTAAAACACGAAGAATTAGATTCACCCTAAGTAACGCTTAAAGAAATCGTCTTATGAGAGACTCAACCAAGTCTCAACAAAGGGACTCGACAAAGTCTCGACTGAGGGAATCAACAAAGTCTCGTCAGATAGACTCAACAAATTCTTTCCTGGGGGATTAAACCAAGTATCTTCATAGGGACTCAACCAAGTCTCTTCAGAGGGAATTAACAAAAGTCTCATCAGAGGGACTTAACTAAGTCTCATTAGAGGGACTCAACAAAGTCTCTTCATAGGGACTCAACCAAATCTTGTCAAAGGGACACAACATGTCTAGTTTGAGTGACTTAATAAAGTCTCGTAAGAGGGACTCTACAAAGTCTTCCCTGAGGGACTCAATAAAGTCTAGTCTGAGGGACTCAACTAAGTATCTTCATATATACTCAAGAAAGTCTCACCTGAAGGACTCAATTAAACATTTTCAGAAGAGTCACGACCAATATCCACATAAGGGTAGGGATAAATGCCTCGATCGGGATCCTTCGGAAGGTTTGGAGGTGGGGGTTAAAACATTTAGGTCTCTACGAGTCCTCGTAATTGAGGTACTGTGTAGTAGCATAAGTTGAGGAAGGCTTTAGTCCGATGGGAAGAGGTATACACTTCGTCATTCACAAGTCGTCACTTTATTAGTTTTAGTCTTTTTTATATGTATTTTAGCATTTAAAATTGATAGTGTATTTATTTTTAATGAAGTGTAATTTATATAATTTATCGTTAAAATTCTTCGAGTATTTGTTATATTTAACTAAATTTTTTAAAAATATGAAATTCATTTTATATTTTTATGATTAAGATAGGATGGATATATCTACTTGCATGTGACAATTGATGGAAGTTATTATTGTTATCATGCTAAGCCATGTGATGCTGGATCTGTTGTATGAAAAATGCATGTGTATATGTCGGTGTCATATCTTCTTTGCCAACCAACAACTCTTTGTCCTTCTTCCATTTATAACAACAAAACCGGATTCGACCTAGCAAACACCAAAGGTCAACATGTCAATACAATTATAGAACTCGTCTTCACGTTAGAGATTAAAATATGTTACTTAGACAATAACCATATCAGGTTTATGTTACATCAGATTCTTTTCATAGTGGATAAATAAAAGGAAAAAGTGCCTAAAATAATCCATTTTTCGATTTTTTTTTTTACTGTTGCATCGCATGTTAGAAATTTTAAATTCCATAATGTTTTACATTGGAAAAAATTTGTCAATCTATCCTCTTTTTATGTGAGTTCGTTCTTGGAATGGACGAATCAGTGTTGGAAAAAAAAGTCATGAGTTCGTTCATGCATTGGACGAACCAGTGAAGTGGTTTTTACTCTGCATGAGTTCGTTCATGCATTGGGCGAACCAGTGAAGTGGTTTTTGCTCTGAATGAGTTTGTCCATGCATTGGGCGAACCAGTATACGTTTTGTTTTTTATTTTATTTTTTTTATTTAGATTTTGTTAAATGTTAAACTTATTTAATTAAAACTTTTTAATATAAAAACTATTTAATTAATTTTATATAAAAATTGTTTAATTAATTTTTTCTAAAAACTATTTAATTAATTTTTTAACTATTTAATATAAAAATTATTTAATATAAAAACTATTTAATTAATTTAAAATTATTTAATATTAAAATTATGTAATTAATTTTATATAAAAATTATTTAATATAAAAACTATTAATTTAATATTAAAATTACTTAATAATAATAAATGTTAATAATTTTTTAATATTAATAATTTAATGAGAGTCTGTGTTTTAAAATGAAAAAACAAAAAAATTATTAACACAGATCTTTGATTTTTTCATATTAATTTTTTACACATTAAATTATTAACAAATCATTATTAAGTAAAATAATAATTAATGATATCAGAGAATTAATTTTTACCCTTAATAATTTTTTACATATCTCTTATTAAGAGATCTCTTATTAAAAAACAGAGAATTAATATTTATCATTATTAAATTAAGAGAATTAATGATCTCTTATTAACAGATCTCTAATATTATTGAGTAAAAATGGAAAAAATTAAGTGTAAAAAATTATTAATATTTATCATTATTAAGTATAAAAATTAAAATACATATCTCTGATTTTTTCCATTTTAAAACACAGATTTTCATTAAATTATTAACATTTATTATTATTAAGTGTAAAAAATTATTAACATTAAAAAATTATTAATATTTATCTTTTATCATCATTAATAAAAATTATTAACATTAACATTTTTATTTATATAATTTTTAATAAACAAAATTAATACATAAATTATTAAATAAATAAAACAGAAAAAAAAAATAATAAAAAATAAAAAAAACTTCTTCACAAGTTCGTCCATCCAATGGACGAACTCACTCTTGGTCCATTGCGTTGCACTAGTTCGCCCGCTGAAGGGACGAACCCATACAAAAAGAGGATATTTTCATAAATAAATTTTGAACTGGAGTATTATGGGATATATCATTTCAAAACAGGTACAATAGTGAAAAACTCCCATTTTTCCCATGATTTCTTTTTCTTTTTAAGTACAAGTTCCGGAAGCATGGAACCAGAGCAAGCAATAAATATTGGTCACCTGGCCACCCTTGCTCGAACTCAAACATTGTAAAAGAGATCAACACCCCTAAATCATAGATGACAAAGAGGCGCATGTAAAAGTCATACTTAGAGGTTGTACTCATTGTCAGTCAGAGAGGCCATGTTAACCCTCTCATCTTTAGAACAAGGTTCTATGAGGACGTCTATACACTCTTAAGAAAAGAAACCACTTTCTCCCACGTTGTATAAATGGTTTTGTAATCTTCAACTCCCAAACATTTTGAAGAGTCAAACACCATCAATGGTCCTGATTTTCCATAAGAAATTTTAACTAACCAATACAAAAATCATACTAGAAATAAAAATGCAGTATTTGTGAGTCAGCCTACAAGGGCACTTGTTTGTTTTGTTCAAATACAAGGGCACTTTGTGCCATGTGCATAGTAAACGAAAATTGAGACTTCTGATCAAGCAATTAAGGTCCAAAGTAGAAATAGTTTTAAGTAAACCACATAGAGCATTTCAAGTTTCTAGCCACTGCATCAATCAACAGACATTTTCAGTAGTTGTGATGAAGTTAACTGAACTCATTGTAACACATGTAATTCAATACAGAACAATTAAGATCATCTATGAAAAGTTTTAGATCCAACATCAAACACTGCAACTGTTTTATTTTTTAAAATAAATAGAAACTTTTAGCATAGAACTAGAAAGCTAGACATGACAATGTTGTTAAGCAGAAAGACCAGCTTCTTCCAGCAGCTGTTTCACCTTAGTGATGTAATCACTCATTGCTTCATCCTTGGATTTGCCTGCAAAATAAATAAATATAATTTTGACGTCTATACGAAAAACACAAAAATAAACTGTTGCATTGAAACTATAGATTGACGATGTCTTAGTGTCGTGTTTGTGTCGGCATTTCATAGCACCATAAAAATATATATATATAGATTGCTTAACATCACACTTAAAACCGAATCTTTTAACTTTTTTACCTTCAACAGCCTTCCATGCATCCCATTTAGCTCTGTCTTTCTGGTTGAAAATTCCAGGACGAGCTGTAAATCATACACAAAATCATGAACAATCATAACTCATAAGCCTTATTGCCTAGGGCCTTCCTGTATTAGCCTATTTGAGTTAATCTACTGACATAAACATTAGACATTAGCGAAACTGCTTCGAAGATCTTATAGAAATAGCTTATAACATGTCCATAAGTTGTTTTCAACTTATTTTTATACACATTATAGGATAGCTTATAGCTTATGACATGTCTATAAGGGTTTGTTCGGCCTTAAGCTTGGGCCGGCCCTAACCCTTCAGTCCTTAAATACAAGAAAACTCACCGGTGGTAACAGGTCCAACAGTGGCTTGCTTGTACAATCCATAGAGGATAAGCAAGTTTTCATTTGATGGACTCTCTTTTAGAGTCTTGACTTTCGCAGCATGCTCTTCAAAATCCTCCTGCATCACATTAACCAAGTCTGTAATGCTTGGAGTAATCATTTACTTTTACTTACTTACAAGCATAATATCAAGCACATGCAAAATTTTGATACAAATTATATTTCTATGAAAATGAAAACACCACATGTTCTGTTCACTACATAGATCAGATTTAACATTCCTACATAAAATTCAGCAAGCAGTTTGAATCACATCATTTGAATAACAGGGTAACAAAAACAAATCACCAGATTTTGAATATAACAACGAATAATTCACAAAAGAACAACAAACACCGACAGAGACACTAATAAATCAACGGATATTACTTTCTCTGATACAGCAACTAAATATCAACAGCACACCCACCAATCAAAACAAAGAAAAGAACGTTTTTTTACTGGAAATTCATCACCCCATTAAAGAAAACTAATAGTAACAAACAGTGTCACGGGTCTAAAAAATTGTCGGTGAAAAACAAAGATTGAAATTGAAACATTAGAAATAGATTAAGGAGAGATACCTGCAAACCCATGATGTGTGTTTTTTGGTTGGGAGATTGAAAAGAGAGTGAAGTGAGAAGGGATTTGAAGTATGATAAGCGTTACTTTCGAGGCTCGTAGTTATAAAAGCATAGGAAATATGGGCCGTGGAATCAGAACAATTTCCCCACTCACGTGCTTATAATTAACGCCAGCATATTCTTTCCTCTCACCGTTTTCTAAAAATGTACAATGACATTTTTTACCCCTATACCCTAAAGTGGCCTTAGTTTCTATTGATAAGGATGCATATATGGTTATAATATTTTATGTCTAACGTGATTAAGTCATCGCAACACTTCACTAAGATTACCTTATATTTAAGCAATCATTGGCATCATTATAATTCAACTAAAACTTATCATGTTTACATATATGGTTTAAAGTGATTAAGTGAAAAATATATGTCTATTCGGTACTTTATCCTATTAGTTCTTTAAATTCATTTACTAAACATTACCATAATTTAATAAAAATTTATTTAACCCTAAGATGATAAACCTCGTAATTAAATATATAGAAAAAAATACAAGAACTAAACATGACTAAAACCAAATTCATACACAATCAAAAGATTACTTGTTCATGGAGTTTTACATTATCCAAAAAAATAAATAAAATTAGTTTATAGTGAACAAAGTAACGAGATATTAGATTACATATTTTAAGAAAAGTGTAGGTAAAAATGATAGATTTAAAGAAGTAAGGTCATTCTTTACAATCTTTCAATTGCAGTTGAATCATTGGCGTTGTGTCTCTCTGCGTTAGCTTGTACAAAATTGGATATGGAGAAGAGATGGTGATAGTAACTTTGGTTTGTACCTTTCTTTACTTTTTAAATTGGATATGGAGGAGAGATGGTGATAGCAACTTTGGTTTGTCCCTTTCTTTACTTTCTACATATTATTTCTCAATCATCTTTCAATGTAGAGTTTTCTTCCTATTTATAACTCTCCTTTTTTATCCTTCGATCGGCTTAATTTTATCCATTAACTTTGTCTCAAAAATAAAGCATATTCCCTTTTTGAAAGTGGTACTATGATAGCACATTGAATAGGCCTAACATCTTTTATTCTTTCATGTAACTTTTTATTCTTATATATTTCATGTGGTCTCAACATTTATCCTAACTTCTAGAATCTTCTTTACTTAGTTACTTCTCAAGCATCATAACTTTAACCAAAAACATCTAACACTTAAGTATGTTGGGAATCAACAGGCGAGCATTGTCTTGACATCAATTATTTTAAGAACTGAACATGCACACTAAAAATCAAGTAAAAAAAAACCTAGAAATGCTCATTTACAAAATATCATAAAATGACTTAAAAGTAATAAAGTTACAAGTAATGAATGTAATCATTTGAGACTTATATAGCTCATATAAACGGAGCTACCACACTCCCCAAATTTGAACCATCACATGTCCTCCCGTGATACCTTCACGAAAGGGCTTTAATGATGCAACACTAGTCCTACTCTCAAAACAATGTGGCGTGTAGAAGTTAGTCTTGCCCGACTATTTATGCAGGTGATGTATATGTGGCACCCAAAGTTCAACACGTTTCTTCCTCTTCTCTTTATTTTCCATTTTCACTTTGCACGTTTGTTAGTATTGATTAATAGACAAGCTCCGTCTTAACTTATTCTAACAATCACACAAGAGCTCTGTCGACTTTGGCAAACCTAAAAAAAGATTTGACTTGTAGCATTCGTTTATAATACTAGCCTACATCTTCTAATTTAAAAGAATCTATCTAACGTAAGAATCGTTTATCTTTGCTGACAGTTACTTATTTTTATGTATAAACCATTACATCCGGTGAACGAGAGAATAACCTTGCTCAAGTTGAACTAATTCTTTATTGAACAACATGGAGGGCACAAGAATGATAACCCATTCAAAAAAAACTTTGCAAAGAACAATATCTAGGAATTCTCATGAGGGTGTCGTGTCATCTTCAACTGAGATGGCTAATTAACACATAAAACGTAATTAGGAAGTGATGTTCCTTTCTTAAGAGCAATTACGTTGATATATTTTTAAAACCAACGCAAAAGATTGATTGAAAGATGGGCGTTCCAAGAAAAACAATAAACAAAGAATAAACCTTCCACATAAAAAAAGGATTTTCAAATCTTAATTTTCAAAAGATTTTGTTTGCAGAAAAAAAGACTAGTTGCTAGACCAGATTTTGATAATTAAACCAACAAACCTGAATAACCAAAGCTCACAAAATAACAATAGCCAAGTAGATCCATGTTTAAGACTAAGCATTTTCTTAATAAAGAGAATCTAAAACAAAAATTGTCTAACAAAAATCATCATGTGGATGAATTAGAAAACTAAGACTTCCTGAAGTTTTCACTTCTTGTCTTCCTTCTCAGCCTCGGCAGCCCTTTTCAGTCTGGCACCAAGATGGCGTTTGTTCGTTCGTTCAAGGCGAAGCTTGTAATAAGCTTTAAATGCCTTCATTTCATCTGTAATCTTAACCAGCTCTACAGCTGGCTTCTCCCTCACAATGGGCAAGTATGAACCTTGAACCTGTGTGGCATTTGCAAGTTCCTCGGGAGTAGAATCACCAGCCTGCAAATATAAAAGGGCCATAAGAAATTAAGAATAATTTACAACTTTTTCTTTTGAATAATTATCAGCAATGGTATCAAAATTAAGAAAAGGCTAATATGTTTAAAGCATATAACTGCAGCTTACCTTAACCTTGCGTGCACGTCTTGGGAAGACGACCAACTTAGCCTTGTATGTTTTCAGCCTCTGCACATTGGCTTGCAGACCCTCCAAGGATCTGTTCCTACGGCGATGATCAACAGAAATGCCGATAGTTCGTGCAAGCTTTTTGGGAATGCCAGCAGCCTACAATGTAAAATATAAGATATAAAGGATCGAATAGATTCAGTTAAAAAAGAATGTCAAAGTTACAACACATAGTTATATTATGTACTACATGCTTATCCAACAGCCTACAATGTAACATATAAGAAATATACAAACAGATAGATAGATAAAGTTAGAGAAGAACATCAAAGTTACAATATTGGTTACATTCTGTACACCAAAAAGATAGATAAACTTAAAGAGCATCAAAGTTACAATACATAGTTATATGTACTACAAGCTTATCCAACAAACTTCTAAGGTCTTTACTTAATGATTTCAAGACCTAGAGGCCAAAAAAGCATGGATAATACACCAGTCCTAGCCCTTGATGGTCAAGGTTTCTACGATTCAATTTGAGTTAGGGCCAGCCAATAGACCGTAGGTCTTGAACTAGAATTAAGAGTGTTTTGCAAATACAATTCAATGTATTGATATTGATACCAGTAGCAGAAAAACTGCAAACAGAAAATACCAACATAACATCAATTAATTCTGTAGGAAATGAAATTAAAAGGAAAAACAAAATGAAAACCAGTTTCTATGTACTGATATCGCTAATAAGAACAAGAAAAATGAAAATGCCTAGACATGATGCACATCAAAGTTTTATCCAACGTCATTCGCTTATATAACATATAAATAAATCTTAACATCATCAGATAGAGATCCTATAACTTCACATAATTGCATGATCAAGAAAAATTACATAAGTTGAGGACACAAGCCACTCAAATACATTATACCTTCAATTCCTCGAGAGAAAACCCTTTGCCAGCCCTAAGTTTCATGTTATATTTCTGAGTTTGTCCATGAACAATAGGCCTGAGAGGTCCAGCAGTAGGCCGGGGGAAAATCTTAACAGCTTTCTTCTGACAAGCTGAACAAAACACCTAACTTAAATTTGATGATTTACATCCCTTTTTATTTCTCCATCATTTTGTTTTTTGCGTCCAAGATATTTAAACTGTATGACTTATGGGATGATATGACCTTCATCTTTCACCTCTATGTTAGAAACGATTCTCCTTTTGCTGAACTTACATTCCATGTACTTTGTCTTACTTCTACTTATGCAAGATGCATGTGTTTATAAGGCTCGTCTCCAAGTCTTCAATCTCTCATTTAAATTCTAATTTGACTCTCCAAGTATAACTATATCATCTACAAAAAAATATTTATCTTGGTTCTAACTATTAAATGTATTATGTGAGTATATCAAAAATTAAAGTAAAAAGATAAGGGCTTAGATTTGAACCTTGGTGCATTCCTATTTTAACGTGGAATTATTTCTCTTTACACCCTATGTTTCCACATTAGTCGATACTCCTTCATACATATCTTGGATAGTTCGAATATAGGCAACTCGAACTCATTTTTTCTCTAGGGCTTTCCACAAAATCTCTCTAGGTACTCTATCATACGTCTTCTCCAAATCTATGAAAAATAAATTCAAGTCTTGTTGGTCCATGTGATAGTGCTCCATTATATGTCGTAGTAGATAAATCGCTTTCATAACCTTCACGCCTAAAACCAAATTGATTCTTAGTTATTTGAGTCTATTTTGTTAGCCTTTGTTCAATCAGTCTTTCTCATAACTTCATTGTATGACTCATAAGTTTAATCTTTCTATATTTGCACAATTTTATATGTCCTCATTGTTCTTATAGATTGGAACTTAAGTGTTTCTTTTCCATTCATTCGGCATTTGCTTTGACCTCATAATTTCATTAAAGAGTTTGGTGAGCCACTAAATGCCTTGACCTCCAACAATTTTTCACACTTAAATTGGTATGTTATCTGAATCAACCGTCTTAATATTACTCATCATTTTTAACGTTTTACTTTTTATTTCTGAATCCAACAATAATAATTATAGTTTCGATCCTCTTGTCTAATGTCAAGTCTATTAGTGACTAGTGAGATATCATATCCTTTATTAAATGAGTTATATAAATATGTCTTCCACCTATGTTTTATATCTTTTTCCTAAATCAAAATTTTGCATTTTTATCTTTAATACACTTTACATGATTCAAATCACTTGTCTTTCTTTAGCTTTCCTTAACAAACTTATATATAGATTTTTCTTCCTATTTGATTGCTAAATATTTCTATAAACTATCAAAAATGAGTTATTGCTTCACTCACCGCTTTCTTAGTCTCTGTCAAATTTCTTATACTTTTTTCAATTTTCTAAACCATTCTTTAAAACATTTCTTTTTCACTATAATTTTACTCTAAATACTTTGTTTTCATAAGTAATAAAGGGGTGAAAAAGAAGTTCGAAAACACGCCTCATATCAGTTTCTAGTTTTCACTTGTAAAAAGGTTGGAGCACATGTATCCCAAAAGTTAATGCAACTAACTATACAGGTGAAATGACTCAACAACAATGAACAACATCTATAGAAACTATATATGAATGATTTTCCAATTGGAGATCCTCTAATATCACAATGTCACATAAGCAGAAACAGAAGAACCACATTTCTGAAATTCACAAGACAATCTCTAAACAATGCTTTCATTTCCACATAAAATGTTACAGTTAAAGAAGTAAATATTTCAAGCTGTAAAATTTTACTGTCATTTAACAAAAAAAACAATACCAACAGAAAAGAATTACAAAATCTTTCCCAGAGAAAAATACTGGAAAGTTTTGAGGCGGTGAGGAATCAGATTATGAGATGTACCTCAAATTGAAGTCTTTGATTCTAGTTCTAAAAATTTGAATTAGGCCTTGTTCAATCCTATAAAACCGGCTTAGAAACACATCTAATGTGGGACTGTTAACACGCTCTCCTCATCACATTGAAGACTGAAAATCAGAAGCATAGCCCAAGAGATCCTTGTTGTCAAGGTGATTAACTCAAAGCATTAATCAGAGCATTATTAACACAAGCATTCTTGATTAATCAGTCTGTTTTCTGATCCACCGGTAAGAGCCATGAGCAGTTTTACCAGAAATCTCCACAAGAGCAATCGCCGTCTTTGAAATGGTGAAAACGATTTGTGTCTCTTACAAAAATTTCTCTGTCTTCTATTCTGCTTATAATTTTGATAACAGCATGACAGTCATCACAAATTCTCAGGTTCTTGATCACCTGAAGAGGTTGTCCGGGATTCGTGTTGATTAGTCCTAATATTACTGCCAGTTTCTCACTGTGACCACACAATATCTGCTCTTTGTCTTGTTCCTCCACATCTTGCAGCACAGATTTAGTCATCGGGAGGTAACCAGAATTCTTAATCTCAATACTCAACTTATCTGACTTCGCCAAAATCTCTTTCATTTGTGGATGTGATTTGTCGCCAGAAAGAAGCGTGTGTACCCTCCGTCCGATTTCAATCCAACTACAGCCAGGATTTTTTCTCAAACCTTTATCCTTCATCATATCGCGTATTCTATTCTCTTCATCCCACATACCCTTTGAAGCATAAATATTGGAAAGAAGAATGTAGTTCCCAGGATTTTCTGGTTCTAACACGAAAAGCTTCTCTGCCGCAATCTCAGCTAAACTCAAATTATGGTGAACTCTACAAGAACTTAACAAGGCTCCCCATACACAAGCATCTGGTTCAAATGACATTTCCTTGACGATAGAATAAGCTTCTTCTAGTTTTCCTACACGACTGAGCAGCGTAACCATGCAAGCATAATGTTCCATCTGAGGTTTAACATCGTATTCTTTCGACATGCTATTAAAGTAATTCCATCCCTCTTCTGTTAAGCCGTTTTGGGAGCACGCAGATAACACACATGTGAAGGTAATTGAGTTGGGCTTATGGTCGGTTTGCAACATCATATGAAACATCTCAAATGTTTCCTTAGCTTTTCCATGCATAGCATAACCACTCATAACTGCATTCCAAGAAACCATATTCCGAGATGGCATTAGATCAAAACAACGCCGTGATAACTGGATTCTTCCGCAATTGGCATACATATTGATCAATGCACTACCTACATATACATCATCGAAAATTCCCTTCCTGAGAGAAAAACAATGGATTTCCTTTCCATGCGTTAACGCTGAAATATTTCCACAAGCAGGGATCAAACTTGGGATAGTGACAGCATTAGGCTCCACACCATCAGCCTGCATATCTCTAAAAAGCTCCAAAGCTTCCATGTCTTTCCCATTCTGGGAGCAGCTAGCAATTATCGATGTCCATGTCACAACATTCAACTCCATTTCTCGAGCTTTAAACTTCTTAAACACCTCCAATGCAGTATCAACCAAACCATTGCGCGACAACCCAGTAAGGAAAGCATTCAAAGAACCTATTTCCGTTTGATCAATTCCATCAAACACCCTAGACATCTCAGATGCACATCCACATCTTCCATACATGTCAAGAAGCGCACTCAGCACAAAATTATCTGATTCCAAACCCTGCTTGATTGCATACCCATGAACCTGTTCGCCCATCGAAACATCCTCCAAGTTCCCAATAACAGGCAAAACACAAGAAACAGTAGACCCATCAGGCAAAAACCCTTCTGATATCATCTCACGAAACAACACCACCGCCTCAATATAAGACCCTGCATTTCCAAACCCAGCAATCATACCATTCCACGACACCAAATTCGGTTCCACACCCTCGTTTCTCATCTCCGAAAAAAGCTCTCTAGCCCTATCAACAAGCCCTACTCTCGAGTAACCCGCAATCATAGCACTCCAACCAATCACATCTCTTTCAGACATACTATCAAACAGTTTATGTGCATCTTCAATTCTATTACATTTCAAATACATATGAACCAAAGAAGACACCAAAATAGAATCAGAACCAAACCCAGAAACAGCAGCATAACCATGAACCTGTCTACCAGGTTTCAACGCTTTTAATATACCACAAGCCTTGATAGCACTAGGAAGAAGATAACTATCGGGAACAAGACCACGAGAACCCATATGAGAAAACGCACCAAGAACATGATGGAAGTGATGTGACCTAGCAAAAGCATG